ACTCTTTCTTTTATAGCTTATGCTTGTTTTTCTCTGAAACCTCCTGTCACTCTGCATCACTCTTGATGCAAAGCCCCAAAAGGGAAGGCAGAAATTCCTCTGAGGCTTTGTTAGTGCTGAGAAAGGTAACAGGTTACTTCACATGTCTTGCAAGCCGACTTCTGTTCGCACGTCTCGGTGCGTGCCGCGTGTCAGCATGCCATCATTGTGCCACTACAAGCCCAGATGATCTTCCTTAGGGATGCTACCCAGCCGGTTGTTCCTCATCTGCTGTGTGTGTCATTGACTATTTCAGCTGAAGTGAGTGCCTTCAGCGTTCCCATATTGAAATTACCTTTTCAGATGCAGGTACTCCAAGTTGTCAAGCTTGTTTTGAATTTAATTCTGCCCTCCATTTTACTTGGAATTGCAAATAATTTCAGCTTTGCATGAACTGATTTAACTTAATAGCACAAATTTAATTATCCTGGCTAGTGAAAATATGGAATGATAGTATGTTCAAAAGAGAAGTCCAAGAAAGACATGATTTTGTCCATCCTTTTTCTTAGGGAGTGAGCCTCTTGTTTTTACTCTCTGAACAAGACTACCCATCAGTTTTGTTCTGCCCTGTAGAAGCTTAATCACTGTCACACATCTCTCAAGCATAAGATTAGTGCTGAAGTAGTGCCAAAAACCTTACTGAAGCCCAGTTATAATATCTGCTTCTTATTCCATGTCTCATGGCATCATCCCATAGGCAAAGATAATTAGATTAATCTGACACTACTTTTGAAAGGTGTTTTTAAAAAAGTTTTATTAAATACTGCAGGATTTTTCTACGATTTGATGTTTAACTGACTAATCTACCATTCCCCAAATTCCCTTTCTTCATGGAAAGAACATAGTATGTTGAAGAGAGATGAATACAGAAGTTCCCATCCCTCTTTCAGTGTCTCCCCCACTTTCTGCATCCTCCAGGGCAGCTTCTGCCTTTCCTGAGGTTGCTTCAGGTACCTCTGGATGAAGTCACCTTTGCTAGAGAACAGAGCAATTTGGAAAAAACCTTTAAGGGCTCTGATGTAATTAAGGGTGGAATTGAATTTAAAATCTATTTAAAAATCAATAGAAAAATGATGAAACATTAACACCAGTGTCAACACTTTACCAGTGTTACTCTACTGTCTTTGGGTACCTTAACATTAACTTAAGTAAAACTTTGCTTGCGCCTTGAAATGGGCAGCATTTTCCTCATTTAACAGATAGGAAAGTAAAGACCTGAGTATATGAAGAGTTCATTCATGCCTAATTTTTGAGAGAAAAGTACGCAGCATCTCTTTCTCAGGATGCCACACTGAAACAGCCAGACTGCACTCAGCAGAAGGATTTTCAGGTCTCATCCCAAATAAATCCCTTAAGCCATGCTGCCCATCACTAACCAACTCAGAAAGGAAAGCCAGACTCAGCATCCAGCTCCCAAACCAGTGTGCTGAGCAAAACCTCACTGCCTTTGCAGAAGGAAAACAGCTTCATGGGCTTTTGTATGTAGGAAAACGTACAAAAGCCCTTTTATCTCTCATAAAGGGAGATTATGAGATTTTTCCTCATAAGAAAAGGAACAAAACAGAAAAACATATCATGTGCAGCACGTGCAGAAGGCCCAGAGGAAGGGCCTGAGCTGATTTCACAGAATGCAAAAATGGTGGCATTTTAGCAGCCTGGGGAGACAGGAAATACTGATGGAGAAAAAAGACTGTCAGATGTTGGGAAAGTTTTCCTCGTGACAAGGCCAAAGAAAGACCATTTATCTGGTTGTGTTTAGGTGCTGTTACAGACCAGTTATCTTAGATGGTTAGGAATTGCTTATGTATGCTACATCTGATCCTGTGGTTGGGAGGGTTATTATTTGGTGTTTTTTCCCCTCTTTGCCATAACTCTAAAATGCAGTAGTTTTAAACCCCTTTGTAGGTAGGAACCCTCCATTTGTTTTGTTTGTACATCAAGCCAATTGTGAAAAGCCTTTCTCTGAATGAAGCAGCCACATTTTTCACAAAAATTCAGAAAAAAACAATGTGACCCTCTACAGTTAGTGAAGGTGATTAAAACTACTGTCTAAACCTCACTGGAGGCACACCCTCCTCTCCTCTAGCCCTGCTCCATATTGGCACAGAGGTGCCTACCCAAAATACCTTCCCCAGGATATGCTAAGGGCAGGGAAGACCCTTGAATTACCCAAATGCTTTGCCAGTTTGACTGGAATATACTGGGGCAGATGGTGGTGCCTACCCAGGCAGTGCTGCAAGCAAGGGGAACAGAAGGAGGAAGCAACCAAGCTGTATCACATTTAACAGAGGTACCAGAGCTGCACTTTGCTCTCCTGTCACATTATTTCCACATACTTCTTCAAGAAGTGTGATATTCTCAGTGGAAAGGCTTAATGGGAAATATTTTCTTGATTTTTGTTACTGAAAGGGCATTCACTTTCTGACTGGCTTTGGCTACTAACACAGCAATCTCAATCAAGCAGGTGGTACACAGGAGTGATCAGAAATTCAATGTGCAGCCACCTCATTTCCCTGAGGAAAGTGAGGCAGATAGCTTTGAAAGATTTAGACACCTGACCACACATTTAAACTTGCATAAAAAACCCAATTTCTTCAAGAAAATCTCCTATGCATTTAGCAATAGGAATTTCTCACATTAAAAATTTGATAAGATTTAAGGAAGAAATTCTTCACGGTGACAGTGAGAAGGCACTGGAACAGATTGCCCAGAGAAGCTGTGTATGCTCCAGCCCTGCCTCTGTTCAAGGCCAGGTTGGACAGGAGTCTGAGCAAGCTGATGCAGTGGAAGCTTCCCTACCCATGTCAGGGGGGCTGGAACTACAGGATCTTTGAGGTGCTCTCCATCCCAAACTATTCTATCATTCTCTCTGATTCTGTGAAATCATCTTGGCCTTGATCTATAAGGCCAAGAAGACACAGAAGAAGTACTAATGTCTCTTTCTTGTTACCTTCCCAGATGGCAAACTAAGCCAACTAAGTATCTGGGGTCAAGTTGTTGGAAGGAAATCACAAGCTGATCTTGCCTTACTCTCTGCTCCTAAGAGGGCTAGTCACCAGAGCAAATGCAAGAGCTGGCATTACCCCTGCTCCAAGCCCTAGCAAGTGCAACCACCAATTCCTCTGGGCTTTCCCTTTCTGCTTGAGAGAAGGAAGGAACACACTATTTTCGAGAGTTAGTCGAATGAGCAGCTAATCAGTGAAACCCAGAGGCAGCCATCTGGGCTAGCAGCCACCAGCCCTCCCTGCCAGACCTGGCTCATGCCCTTTTAGCACTATCCACACTCCATTTTTATCTTGTGGTTTGCACAGGTGGGCACAGTCTGTCCAGGCCCTGAGTCAAGCTCAGAAGGATGCTTTTAGCTGAAGGGACACTTCAGAAAGAGAAACTGGTGTGGGAGGCAATGCTTTTCAGTCCTGAACTCCCTGAACAAAGGGATACTCAGTGGTCCCAGCAATGGGGCTAGCACAGCTCTCCTCCCTTTAGGAGGGAAAAAAAAAGACAAGTTATCTTGCACAAGACAACTTTAACACAATGTGTGGAATTTAGAACTTTTCTGGGTCAACAGGATAGAAAGGGCAGACAGTGCTCACAATCTGACATCTGAAAACCACCAGTGTAAAAATCCCACAGATGAGTATGAACACTGCCCTTCCTGTGCCATCAAAACTGTAGCTGCCTTAAGATCTCAGCATTAAACAACACCACGTCCCCCTAGCTCTGGCAGCTGCTCAGTTACCACTTCCATGACTCCCAGCCCAAACAAGGACAGCCCCTCACAGCCATTTCTGCTTTTCACCTCTCCTTCTCATGTTCTGGCTGGTGTCTGAACCCCCTCACCACCCTGCTCTTCGTTTGATTCACCCTGCCCCTCCAAAACTGTCAAGGGTACTGTGGGTGGCTCAGAAGTGAAGCAAAAACATACTTTTATCAAGTTTAGGATTATTATTTCTAACTGTATTCCCTAACCCACAGTGGAAAGAATTATTTCCTTCTGAAGGATGGAGAGCTGTGACAGGGTTTATGTTTCTAGCACAAAGGTGCCTTGGGAAGCTAAAAGAACCACAGAAATTTTTAGGTTGAAAAAGGCCTGCAAGATCAACAAGTCCCATTGATGACAAAATAAATCACTTGATTGTAATGCATAAGACATATCCATTTGCACACATGAAAAATATAAGCTACCCCATCTCCCTAGGTATATGGAGTGCCATGCCAAGCACTCCATCTCTGGTGCAGAGATATCCACAGTTCACATTGACTCCAGTGTTACCAGTCTTGCTCTGGGAATCACCTAGCCAGATGGGACTATAGGATACCTACCCCCAGCTCTAGGTACTGTGGGGATCACCACAGTCACTGATGTCACGTGAGAAGGGGGTTGCCAACTCGCCCCAGTTCAGTATGGCTCACGCAGACACGTGTGCACACAAAAAGGAAAGGAAATGTGAGGAAGCAGCCTTTGCAACCCAGCTACCCAGAGACCACCATCCAGGCCACAAACATCCCTGGCTCAAGTATGGACCAACCATTCTTAAGAACAGTTTTCTAGGAACTGAAATCAATGAAGAGACCCTGGGCATGTCTGAAGGGAATTGCACCTTCCAGCCAGTTAAGCAAAACGCATTGTGAACTCTAAGGAACACTAGGACCCCATAACATCCTATTTCCAGATCCCAGACCTACAGGCATTAAAGTCAACTTTCAATATGTCATTCCCTGCAGAGCAAAAACATGAACTTTGAGAAGCAGCCAGTGAAAAACAAAATCATAAAATAATTGCAGATCCCATGATGGCCTTGCAAAATCTTCAGTGACTGTTTCAGCAGACTACAAGTATTTTGCAGTACAGCTGTTGAAACAGATAAAGGAGCAATTTATGATGCGAATAGCAACTCCCAGCTCACCAGTGAAGTAAGGAGTGAATTAGTCCAGCAGGCAAACAAAACCTGGATACATACCAACGCAGGTGTGTCCTTTGTACAGCCCAAAGGGGAGCGAAGGGGGTCGTGGGTCTTTTCCACGGGGCAGAGGGGAGGAAGAGGCAGCCTTCAGCAGAAGCAAGAGCCAGAGGACGCAGAATAAATTAAGGAATGTTTGCCTAGACTCCTTCATCCTAAGGAAGGAAAAAAGGAAGAAATCAGGTGGGAAGGGTGCAAGCAGACCTGTATTCCCTTAACTCTCAGTGTCCTGAGTCAGTGCAGCTTGAGGAGTAAGGAGACTGGCGTGCCTGTGCAGCTGTAAGTAACACAGGGACAGATTCCCAGGTGGGGACAGAAATGTCTGCCCTCTCATGGTGTGCATGGAGGATCCCACACTCGCACATCACAGATAGAGGTGCTCTCCCGACCCCTCAGCCCCTCTCAGGCCCTGCTACCATTAAACCCAGCAGGTCCCACAGACCTGGGCACACCATGAGCAGCCTGGGAGGGTGCCCCCGTGGCCCTGGCCCCAGGCTGCTCTCCACACCCCCACACGACCCCACTGCCCCATGTGCAGCTCTTCCCAACCTGCTGGCCTGGGAGGACCAAGAGGGTTGGATGAACAGCTCTGGCTCTGCGCTCCCGTGTCTCCTGCAATAGCAGCGGATGAATAACGACCTTGAACCACAGTAGCTGCCAGAGCCACTCAGCATTAATAACACAAGACACTCCCCTGAACAACTAGTGTTGCAAAAAGGGAAAAAGAAAAAAAAAACCCAACTCTACAAACCCTTCCCCCTGTGCTGTCACTCCTCTGCCCTCCTCCACAGAAAAGAAAGAAAATATCTCTGTGGCTGCTTCTGTAAAATTTCTGACCACGGTTTCCGTTCGGGAGGACTGAGTGTGAAAAACGAAAGAAGCTGCTCAAGACGGAGCCGCAGGGACGTGAGGGATGGGGCTGCCATGCTGGGGCTTTTCCAGGGCTTTAGTTCTGCTGGGACTGAGGCAGGGGGATGGGAGACAGCTGCCAATGTGAGGGTAGCTCTGGGAGCTGAACCCCTGCTCCCATCAGCTTTGAGCACATTTGCTTGCAGCCTCCAGCTGCCTGAGAGCCTTGAGAAATCCTGTGCAGTTCCTGCTTTGGCAGTCACAACAACTAAAGGTTTCCCTGGCTCTATTTTTTTTAATCCCTCAGACAAGGCATAAACCAGTCATTCCCCAGCCTGAAGCAAAAGCAGAGTAAAACATGTTTAAATGACGTGACTTTGGATGTGGAACAAGTCCAAACAGCTACATCCCAGACACTGTGGATGCAAGGATGGCTTTAAGGAGGCGATTTAGGACTGAGGCACCAATGTAGGACTGAGGCATGGAGGGCCAAGGCTGTGTCCCACCTCTGCCCCTGCCTTTTTGTATAAACCTGGGCAAGTCTCTTCCCCTCACAGTGGGCAATGGGTACTCATCTTTCCATTATTCCCTGTCTGTCTCTTTCAGAAGTGGGCAGGGCAATGACATGGTTGCTAAAGGACAATGAGGAGCCTGTCTCATAAAATATCCCTACATCCTTCCCAGGAATAATTAAAAGAGACTTATAAATGGTGTTGTAAAAAGAAAAAACTAGAGGAGCTACTAAAACCAGCGACTCCCAGCCAATTCCTGCAGACCAATATGATCACACATGGATCAGATCTGCTTCAATATTTAATATGTTTTTTGCAAACCACTTCCTTCCTTAGGAGCCTCCCCTATGACTTTTTAAAGACAGTCTCAGAAAGTTTGCCTCAACTTTGATAAGGAGGATTTGCCTTGTCCTAATGATGATATAATCCAGTAGCTCTGGGGGAAAAAAAACCCAGACTATAAAATCTTCAGTGTGAATACAAATCACTCTGTATTTCTGTTCTTTAAGCCAAGACATTTGCTTTCATATGTATGCCTTCCTTTGAAAAATATAAAAAATAATTAAACCCAAAATGAAGCTGTTGCCTGAGTTTTGCAGAACTGTTTCTGCTTATCATTCTCCCTATAGCTAGAAATGCTGTTTTTCTTTTTTTGTTTTTAATAGCAGATAAACAAAAATCATAGTGTGAAGTACCTTATCCATATGCCTATCCTACTGAAATCTGCAGGATGTTTTTCTTAACGCTGTAAAAACTTGCTATAAAAAGACACTGCCACAGCGACTGCAGCTCCATTAAACCCTTTTTAACACACATATCACTTGGTTCCCAATGACACTTTGAAGTCCTTTAAAACTCTGCATATTGGCTCATGAGCGCTTGCTGCAAAAGCAGGGTGCTAATAATAGGCAAGAAAAACCTTCCCAGCAGAGAGGTCTTCGGAATGGTTTTTGCTTTACATCTATTGCAAAACACAAAGCAAATCAACAGCACTTATAGAGTACAGAGACAGAGCCCAAGCTGCTCCCAGGCATGTAAACCTGCAAAGCATGTAGCTGAAGCCTGTAATCAGCTGTGTTATTTTCTTTCATTTTAGCCTGTGGAAAGAGCGGTAAGGTAACTCCATGTGTAACACAGAGCTGCTTTGCACTGTACCTTACACATTAGTCAAGCTCTTAAACCAACTGAAGAAAAAAACCAAAAAAACCAAAGCTTTTAAAATATGCAGACTGGTCAGAGAAATGAGGGATTTGCATACTTAGATTTAGAGGCCAGCTGGGAAGGTGAATTCCACCCCCCCTTCCACTGGTCCCTCCCCAGACCGGTGTGAAATCTTTCTTCTTCCCACTCAAATCAGATTGCAAATCCTGTTTTTTGCCAAGCAGATTTTATATTACTTCCAAGTCCCTGACACGTTAAGACCTAAAGCTGTCTTGGTACAGGAGAGAGGGAGTACTTGATGTTGCCTTTTAATCCTGGTAAGTGCATAAATGATGTTAATAGGAGGTAAAAAACAAATTAAACCTGTCCCAAAGGAAGGGATTTGATCATAAATGCTTCCATTAAGTTGTGCACAACACCCAAGTCAGAGAAGCAGACCTGGGTTAAGGGTGACTCAGGAGATGCTGCCTGCCTAGAAATAGAGGAGCTCTGCCCTCTGCAAAGCACCAGGTGCAGAAAGGTGATATCTGGGGTGTCCCCTGCCCAAAAGGGTGTAGCAGGGTCACCCTACAGCTTTTGAGCATCTTTGTCTCCTCAGCTTTATTGTTTTTTCAATGTGTTTGCAGCCTGGGCTTGCAGCAGGTCCAGCCAGGTGGCAGAGGAGTGTAGTTCAGGTGGGTTCTCGGGGCTGATGGGGCTGCTCAGGGTTGTTATAGCCCACAAGTGCCTCAGAGCCCTGACACTCACCTTTGGGGACCATGAGAGCCAAGTGGGTGGAGGAATGAACTCTGCAGAGATGCTCCTGGACACCCCACTAAGTTCCTTCCTGCAGCATTACTCACCTAAATAGCACTGAGAACTCAGTCAACATTTTGTCTCTCTGAATCTCCACGTGTTGCTTTTGAAGAGGAGACAAGGACAGTGCAGAGCCAGAGGTGCTGTGAGATCCCTCTTGCAGATGGGAAAGCCTCAGTGCCCTGAAATAACCCAGCTCCACAATAATTCACTTGCTATCAGGCAGAAGGCACAGAGTCAGTTGGACTTTTTCAAGGTTGAATTTGGGCTAGTAATAATATATGCATAAATAAATACACATGTATACCCATGATATATGCTGGCCCACCTGCTGCTGCTTCCTGCTGAGGAAATGGGAGGACCCACAGCTCCTTCCATTCAGCACACAGATCAAGAGCAATGTACATTACTCTGCAGGGTTTTGGTTAAATTCTGCTGCAAAGTCCTGCAGCTCTCTCTACTTGCTCTCAGGATGCCAGGACACACTGAAGAGCTTGCTCAGCTCACCCAGCTTGATCCAGTCTGTGTTTTTTGGGAGTTCTAGCACATGTGGGGGTCCTCAGAGCTAAATCTCAGTTACCATATCTTCATGTAGAGGCCAGTAGCAAGCGTGACGTGTGGGGGACACACCATGTAGGGACCAGAGAGGCCACAGGGACTAGTGGCTCATGGAGTGCCCCACTCAGTAACTCCCAGTCCAAGTTCTCCAGCCACACCCTGAAGCCTCTCTCAGTTTAAGCAGAGCTGAGAGAAACTTGCACTCGTGACTTCTGCCAAAAACCTGAGGCAAAACACGCAAAGACAAGCCTGAATTTCCATGATGCACAGCAGTGTTAGGCTACGTGTGTAGCTAGTGAAGAAATACAATCCTCTAGGTTGATCCCAAGAGCAGGAGTGTGGTTTCTGGAGTTTAAAGGACCCACAACACTTCTCCATTTGTCATATTTCCATATGAGTTCCTGACACTAATGTACATTGGTTGGGGTGGTGGTGCCATGTCAGCTAAGGGACAGGTACGGTTTCAGCCTCTTTGCTGCCCCTGACAGAGATGCAGTGGAACAGAGTGAGGGTTTCTGATTTTCTGAGTAAGGTCTTAAACAGGATTTAAGAGTGACCCCTTCCCTGTAGGGAGCCATACATGATTGCCACTAGAACTGTGAAATGAGATGCGAGGATGAAGTTAGTTTCAGTGGTGCTTTATATAATGGGTCCCTAAAGATCTATTTATGCATACAGCAAATACATTGAAAAAAGCCATCAAAAAGAGAATGGAAAATACTTCAATGAAGCCCCAAAACAGGACAAGCAAGAATTGATTTGTCATCTGTCAGGATTAGGGGCCACTTAGTTGAAAATAAAAGTATGAAATAGTTATCTTACAAAAGGAGATCAGCTGGCACTGTATATTTATCTGTCCTATTCCGTCCAAGTCACTGCACACATTGCTGCATTTTTTTTCCTCTTTGGCTAGATTCTTTTACATATTGATTTTTAAGACATATGCATTTTTTTTCTCTTTGTCACATTCATACATGCATTTTTATGATGATTAAATGTTATCTTGGAAGGTTTTGTCTCTCTTTCTTTCCTCTTTGACGTGCTGTTCAGTTCTTAAGGGAATAGATATAAGCCTTGTATTTTTGTGTCTGGAGAGATAAAACCTGCAGGAAGAAGCCTTTAGATCAAAGATCCTCTCAGTCCCTTTTCTTCCTTTTATTTTCAAAACATTGTCCTTTGTGCCCTTTGACTCTTGAAGTTCCCAGTGGTTTCTTGCGTTGGTTATTTTTCATTACTGCTCTCCAAATTTCTCTAACTGTCATAAGCATCTCTGCGGTTGGTGCATTATCACTGGCACGGATGAACATTTCCAGAGCCCCATGTGGATTTGCAACTGCACCACAGCCAACTGAGTCATTCCCTCTGCCCCAGTTTCCTTATCAGTTGCTGCTTGCAGTTCAAGTTATGCATCTATTTCAGAGTCTTTCCATCTCATTGTCATTCAAAGCTTCAGGGAAAGCATTTAAACCAGTATTTTCTTACACTCATATAAAAAAATTTGTTCCAAGTTATTGCCATGCTGTAGCTGAGATGATTATCCTTTATTCTGCCACCTTTAATGAAATTAACTGTCCCAGCTTGCAAGGATGTTGATATCTGTGCTCTTAGAAATGTAAATCACTGACATGACTTACTTCAGTTTGGATACAGCAAAATGTGGGAACAAGCCTCTTAAAGCTTTCAAACAGGGAACCCATGAAAAATACAGCTACATCACCTTGCACTCTTGTTCACAGCAGGTTGTGCACTTCTGGGAAGGTCTGGCTGTTAGGGTTGACAAAAGGGGGTGACTTTGGAATTTCTACTAAAGAT